AATGTTACTTTCAGTTTCAATCACTTGAAGCAAGTTCACAAAACAATGGAACAATGGTTATACAAACTCATCATGAATGTCAATGTCATAGAGCATAAAGCACTCAAAGTTTTATATGAGTTACTGATCATCCTAATAGTGCCAATAAGGAATATGGCCACCAGATCCTCAATAGCTGTTAGCTGTCTACAACATTCTACTAACCTCACATGCCAGATCCAGTAAGGGTTGTACAGGCCAGCTAACCATGATTACAATAATACTGGGAAGCGAGATAGGATATTGGTGCCAATAAGTCGGCCCCTAACGTACATTCGCAATCCAGGCTCTTCTTCAATGAAAACAATAGTTTTTCACCAGTAACAAATGGAATCGTAACCCATAATGCAATTAATCCAGCCAAAATTAGTTGGCTTAGGAGCTCTGTAGATTTGTAATTAACACAGCTCATACAGCACTAGATACAGTCTAATTCTAAAAGTCAATTCTCTGAACAGTTATTTTCTTGAACACAACAGATAAAGTGTAATTCATAGTAATAAATTACCTTCTCCGGCAATGGAAGATAAAAGAGTTGTTCAAGGAAACTACAATTCAAGTGCAATCAAATCATCGCCATCAAACATAAACTTCACTCAAACAATTCCAGGAGACAGGTAGTCTCAGGTTCTCAGCAATCAAAATCAGTACGATTATCATCAATCTACTTATAAATCCAACAATGATGAGTGATCCACAATTTCACAAAACTTGCCGATCTTCTACAAATCCAGAATAATTCCCTTGTGAAGGGTAAAGAGAGCGACCAAAAACTATAGTGACATAACAAGTGAAGGACTTGGTGAATAAGAGCATAATGACTTCATTCCATTCACGATCTAAACACATACACTGCATAATGTGGTTTCCTCACAACAAATGCTTAAGGATAAATATTACACCTGTTAGTGACAATAACGAAGACCTTTATCCGTTTCACGAGAGAGATCATATACGACAGTTCAATACTATTTAGACTCCTACCCGCATCTTCTAAGATTATTATTCTTTCAATAAAGTACCTAAAAATAACTCAAGTTGACTGAAATTGCTCTTGACATAATGGCAATTAGTCAATCAAACAAACACCATACAATTAGTCAAGTCTTTTTAGTCTTCCCCAAGAAAAGGTCTGCATCCAAAACCTGCTAATTTTTGCACATCTCTATACGTAAAGGTCCTAAACCACTAAGACCATCTAGTTCAAAGATTATAGATATAAGACATGATAGTGAAATGGAGCAAAAGCAAAAATCCAGTAACAAGATCCACAAGCATTAATTTTAATCCAGCAAGAAGAACAAAGTTAAGTTAATAATAAAATCCATATGCATAACAGATTGAAGGCATACCTAGCTTTAAGAAGCAAAAGGATGGTAAACACTTCAAGACTATTGTAGCCTCGGTCAACAAAATCTCCCTGACAAGGGATTTGAGATTTTTAGGTCAATAGAGCTAAGCAAGAAGGGAACAAATGTTGACAATCACACAAGCATAGCAATATTAGTATATATAACTAGTACCATAAATATGTAATTGGTCTCTGGAACATGACCTCCAGTCTGGAAAAGCTTCATTAAATCATGGAATTGGCCATGGATGTCACCACAGACAGTGACTGGACTATTGACTGGCTGAACGTTTGACTCCTCAATAAGTATCTCTTTTACCTGATACATTCCAAATATGGGTATACGCAAAGAAATGATCAGTAAGAAAAGATATTTGACAATTTTATGAGCTCTGACAGAAAAGGAACCAGCTCAGATGAGACATGGAAAAACAGAAAACAAAAGGGTAAAATTTAGCCATAAAGAAGAAAGTAAATGATAGTAACGTAAACATCCTAAGAGCAGACTGCAACAACAGTTTGAGATGAAAAGTCTTCCTAACTCAAAATGCTTTGCTAAAAAATCAAGTAGTACTCCACAAATCTATGTAAGGAAAAAATAAAAAATAAATAAAAAAAGCCTAAATGTTGTCCAAACACTACATTAATCCTTTCTTAAGCATGGTCTCCCGTATCCCTTCGGAAACATGCCTTAAAGACATACATTTAAAATCCACACCAGAACTTCTCAGCATACTAGGCCTGATATCATCAACCCTTCAGGCTCACCCAACGTGTTACTTCTTTCTTACGAATTAGCAGATATTGCAGTAGACCAGCATACTTGGAATACCACATAAAAGCAAGAATTTTCTTAGAAATTCAATTATTGCCATAATATCATATCATTCTAAAAAGTAAGGTCACTACATATATACAGTAATTTAACTACATGGACACTATCGGGGATTTTTATTAATAAAAAAAATATTGTCATGATTTTACTTTCCCTTTTTTCCTACTTGAGGATTTCTCTTAATAAAGTATCCAGTTAGAAGATCCAAAGCTTCAAAACTTAAAAACCCTGCCACTGCCAACATTTACTATTGCATTAAAGCACACTCTAGAAAATAACTGATTGCAAATAGATACAGCTACAAAAAGGTTTGACTGGCAGCTTGCCGCACAAATTCGGAAACCAACTATGTGTAACAACATTGCCATTTGCCAATAATGGCATTCCTTTGTTGGCTTCGTGAAAGGATTAAGAGAAACTTCTGCATAAACTTGGCCTAAAATCATTAATATCAACTAATCTCAACATCCATCATCAGATTCATCACTCCAAAGTCCTAAGGAGCAAGAAAATTCACATGCATTGGCATTAGACCAGCCGTTCTCGTATACATAAATGGGAGTATTGAAATTATACATAGCTTGTAATGTTGCCGCAAAGATTACCCTCCTCAGTCCTCAATCGAAAAACATAATGTCATCGATAATCCTAATTATTCCAATTTCCATTCCTCAGAATTTCGCTTCAAAGCAGCAAACCACATGCCGGCCATCTCCAACATTTCTTATTGCATAAAAGCAAACTCACGACTTATTGCGAAACCCCAATTTGAAACAAATACATCTAAGTATTATCAATACGACAAACTTCCTAACAATGGAGGTAAACTGAGACTAGTCTATCAATCATTTCTCCATAAATCCAAAATTACAAACACAAATTAAACGCAGACAAATAGTCAATCAGAAAATCAACAAAGGAGTGAGGAAATAGAGAGAGAGGGAGAGAATACGTATTCGCAGAGAAGCTGAAGCTCATCTTCGGCTAAATGCTGGCCTTCTTTAACCTTGGCGATCCATTGGTCCAAATCCATTTGTAATAATTGTTGGATTGGTGAATAATCTCAGAAATTTCTACTTTCACAGTCAATCTCTCTCTTAGTTTTAGGGTTTTCGTGGTTGAAGCAAATCTGGAGGAGAGAGAAAAAAGGGTGATTCAAATCAAATGAAAAGACAAAGGATGAAGAAGATGAAGAGCAGCAGCGCTTGAAAGATCTTTGGAAAACTTTGAAAATAAATTGGGGGTTTTGCCGGCACTCGCACGCCGTAAATAGCCTCACAAACCACCACCCCCCCTGCTGCACTCTAGATTTAGTACGTGTATTGGGTACTTGTCTTGTGTTACTTGTATTATAGTCGCGTCCATTCAACAATCAATCAATCAATCAACGGTTGGTAATTGGCTATCAATAACTCGATGCTAATGTGACCTACTGACTTATAAGTACATGTACAACGGTAGAAATGATTTAGTGATGTCAATTGTTGATCTACATAGGTATATAAGTGTTTTTTACTTGACTTGAACTCAAGTTCAATTTCAATTAAATTTAGATTTAAAACTTTTAGTTAACATACAATAATGAATTTTGTTGCAAATAAACTATTAGGTGTCGTCATTTAACTTGATCTATAAATTTCATCTATCTAAATACATAATTATTATTTATAAATATATATCATATTTTAAATTGGGAGATTTGTTAAGAATTTATAAAAACTAGAATGTACCAGGTTAATACACGAAATACGAAGTATATTTTAGGAAAAATAAGTTCAAATAATGGCTTATAGGTTTTTAGATAATCAAGATAAATTTACAATTATAATAAGTTTTAAACTCTTAATAAGGTTGAATAAAAATCAAATAAGTTTACATGATTCACATAAATGAAAATTAGGTGAATATAAAGCATCCTAAAAAAGTTGTAAATTTCATAATTTTGTTTTTCATTCAGTCTGCTAAAACAATTTCAATTACCCAATCCATAGTATTCGTCAAGAGGTTTGAACTGGTGTCGAAACAATGAGCCGAAACTCGACCCTACTCAAAGTGAAGTTGACCCGACATCAAGGTGTGTTCTATTCACCTAATTTTCACTAATGTGAACTTATCTTAACTTACTTGAACTTATCTAAACTTATTAGAGCTTATTACAACTTATTTAATCCTTATAAGTACTTATTTTTCATGATCTGAACTTATTACACCTAAAATAAGTGAAAATAAGGTGAACAGAATAGGCCCTTAGATTCAAAAGTTACATAATACTTGAAGTGACTTGACTCAAATTTTTATAAACCATAATTAACCAATGCAATTGGCCACGCAATTAGCTTTATTGTTCATGTAAAGCCTTAAAAAAAAGATACCCTGTTTCATTAAAGAAAAGTGTAAGGTCATGCTTAGCTCACCTTATTTTTACAAATTTCGGATCAAATTAGGAAAAAAAATTCGTATCAAACCAGGAAAAATAAGTCACTTTATCATTTTACGTGCGGTTTTTTTATCGTTAAAAAACTATAATTATGTACGAAAAAAATTATGAAAATTACATACTAATAAAATATACATTATTACGAATATAACAATACCCATTTGATATATTTTTTTCATCATATATAAGATATAAGATTAGAAAAAATAAAGGAAATAAGGTGAACTAAACCATCACTAATTTGATGATGCATAGTGGGTAAAAATATTGAGGAAATCTAAATTTGGGGATAATTTTGTAATTTCATCGTTTTTTTTTTTTTCCCCTCAATTAAAGTTGCAAAACCGCATGAAATACAAATATGGAGCAATATTGAATGTTAAGCCCGTCGGTCAATTAATTTTCCAAAGCTACTACAGCTATTGAGGGTAGGATCGAAGAGAATGGAGGAATCTTCAACATCTGGTCTTAATTCCTCTAACATCGGATTTCAGGTGCCCTTCTTCCTCTTTAATCTTTCTTCAGTTTTATTTTTGTTTAATTTGTAATCCCTAACTCTTCAATTTGTAAATTACTCTCAGTTGTTGCAAAAGCATGGTTGGAAGGAAGGAACTGGTCTTGGTGCTTCTCAACAGGTTCTTCTTTTTCTCTCAAATTTATTTTACAACTCTATTAAATATGAATTTCGAGTTTAAAAGAAGAAAATTAGATGAATTACTGTATGATATAAAAAGAGAATAGATTTAAGAGTTGCATAATTTCAAGTTTCACCTTCAAAACTATGTATATGTTTTAGATTGCCAAGTTTACGCAGTATGCACACATATATTGATTATGATTGGTTGCTAGATACAAAATATTAGATAATACAGAGTAAGAGGGATTAAGAGTAATGCTGTCTATTTTATCACTAGGTATTCATCGGTTATACTATGGTGGAGTTTGAGGGGATGTTTTCTTTGTTGTGAGGATGCATCCATTGTCTGTTGCTATTTTTCGACTTGTTTCTTTTCCTCCACATATTTGTTTCCCTTTCTCTTTGTATTGTTGTATACTTGTATTTTATTTTTAGGACAATATGAATATTCTATCATATTCAATCAACCAGCTAAAGGGTTTATATGATATATCTGGTGTGGAAGTGGGTCAACATTTCTATTGGCAAATAGGAAGTTTTATCTGTTTGCATCTTAAGCAATACTATGAGTTCTGATGTTAGAATATTTTGTTATGCTTGTTCTTTTTCTTTCCTATCTGATATTCATGTTTTTTTTTTTTACTTAATTATTGTTAGTCACTTAGTTGTGGTGGAGCCAAGTTTTATTTGAGGAATAGATCAATTTCAATATAAAACCAGATATTTGAAATATTTGTTGAATTCATGGATTATTTTGCTTTATGAACTTTTGAAGCCTTTTGTGTTTTTCCCTCTGAATTGACTCCTCTATGAATATGTTATTGAACATGATTTTGTATCATGCAAGTATATGGTTGCATTTTGGGTGCCATATTCTACCGCCCCATCCAGGACCTTAGCATACTTTTTCTCGTGTAAGTCATAAAGAAATATGGTAAAAGTTTACAACTGGCATCTTTCATTAAATTTATGGGAAGAGGCTTATCTATTTTGGTTTGACTTGTAAATATCTGTTTCATGTTGTGCATGTATCCGCTTGTAGGTTTGAAAATCAAAATATAATGTTGTCTTAATTGGTGATCTATGGTGTTAACAGGGGAGGTTGGAACCTGTGAAAACATATGTTAAAAGGAACAAGAGAGGTTTAGGGGCTGAAAAGTGGAAAAAGAAGACCTTGCAATCATCCACAACAACCACCTCTGGAGAGAAGGAGAAAACTGTAAGTTTCACTTGTTTCTTTTACAAAAACTCAATCATGTGCTGTTACTTTCAACTAAATTTTAAGCTTAAAATTTTTATTTTTTCGAATATGGAGAATTCCAGGATGGAATCGTGTGATTTTCAAAATCATAAATGAAGAGGATATGCTTAGTTTCCTTTATATATACAAAGTATAAGTAAGAGTGAATATGGTTTCCTTTATGTGTTTTAATTTATTTTTACTTTTTTTTTTTTTTTTTTTTGAAATTTTCTTGTTACTTTTTGTAGTGTATTACCTTTTTATAGCTTGATGATTTCTCATTAGCTATTCTTTTGGGGCTGTCAGTGAAGTTATTGCTTTTTAAGAAAACCAATTATTATCTTTACAGTTGCGATCACTGCTTTTGGATTGAAATTTTAAAATAAAAAGGATTTTGTTGATTTTTCCCTCTAGCAGATGATTTGATGCATGAACTTTGTTACTAATTAGTTATAACAAGCTCAACTATATTATATATGTGAAGTTGTGGTTCTGTTGTGCACTTTTACTCAAGCTCCCCTGCAATTTTCTTGCAATAATACTTACCTGCATTTCTACAACCTTTCTTTGCCACCAAGATTGTTATCTATTCCAAGTCTATCGATTATGTGAACATATGAGGTCCTGAGTAGTGGTCAGTATCTGTGTTGCTTGTAGTCTTGTACTGGACATTGGACAACGATTGGTTGTGGAGGTGCATTTTGTATTATCATTGCATATTCTGGTGTGTATATTTTTGAGTCAGATTTGGATTGCCTCGAGTTGTATTACATGGTCCTATTATTTTGGTTCAGATTGAATCATTAAGAATTTAAGATTACGTGGTGAAGCAAACTTCTCAACCCTCATTATCGAATCATATACTCCCTCCGTATTTTATTACTTGCTCCACTTTCCTTTTGTGGCTATAGTTTACTACTCGCTCCGTTTCCTTTTTTGGAAACTTTTAACAATATTTTACTATTTTCCTCCCCACTAGTGGTCCACTCATATCATTAATTAATACTCCCTCTGTTTCACTTTGTTAGTCCCCTTTGGAGTCAATCAATTAAATTAAGAAAAAGAGGAATACTAATAATTTGGAATTTGACTGCAGCTTTGTGATTAATGTTTTGTCTTTTCCTGTTTTGTAATAAAATACAGAGGGAATGTTGTTAAGTAGCTGAATAAGCTATGCCCTCTTTGTAGTTGCACGGACTCCATGACATTTCTACTTTTGCGTTGCCTATTTTGTAATAGGAGACGATCCTCGTGTTCAGAATGGAAAGTTTCTATTGAGTATTTGCATTGGGTTTTGCTCATTTCCATTTATTTATGCTGTTTAGAAATGCATGTAATATGTGGAATACATTACTATGAAAATGTTGCCTTGAGTGGTAGGACGCAGAAGGGGTGGTGGAGGACTGGTGGTGGTGCTGTGTAACTACTGAGTGTCGCTTAATATTGATAAACTAATACTTTGTAGTTTTATTATTGGTTGTGGGCCTTATTCCTTACTCCTCAGATCAGTGAGTCCTCTCTCTTGCTAATTTTGTTGTTATTTGTGACAGGAGAAAATGTCAAAAAAGGAGAAAGCACTCTCTAAAAGGGTGAGGAAAATGCTGGATGAAGAAAAGCGTCGGCAAGAAAATGAAGTTCGTCAAGCATTCTTCAGAGAGTTTTGGCCAGAGAATGTCTGACATTGGGTCACTAGGAAAACTAATTGCGTGCTCTTATTTGTTTACGATACCGTGTACAGATCTTTCTCCCACTATTTTTTGCTGTCATGTATAGCCAACTTTATTCTGTTGTATGGATACTCAACCTGAAGTTTTGGAAGCCAAATCGGAGAACCAAAACCATACGTACATTATGTTCAAGAATTGAAAGTGTTATAAAACATAACTTATCAAACCAGCTGCGTTCTTTAAACAAGACAAAGTGGCCCATGATCATCGGCACTTGCGCAGGCTTGTTAGTCTCGATGTTGAAAGGTATTTGAATGAGTGCAGTGTGCTCACTAACAACTGAAGGCACAATTATGATGTGCATACCTGCAATCCATTTTTTACATTATCATGCAGTTGAAGATGGAAAGGTCAAGGGCAAGTAGGAAGTAGCCATGATATATAGATCATTATTTGACATTTTACATTGTGCTTTTGTCTTCCTGTTATTCTTTCGATTTAAACTTTTGTCAAAGAAACCATGACCTCTAAAGGGTTCTTACGATGTTTTCTTGAAAATGTGATCATTCTGTTGAAAATATGAAATTGTTATGAATAAGAATATTCTACGTTTTATTCAAAAAAAAAAAAAAAAGAAAAAAAAAAGAAGCATACTCTACGTGTAACAGTAACCTCATCGTGTAACAAGTAGAACTTTTTAGCTGTATTGCCAAGACACAAGTTTTAGGAGTATTTCAAGACTATTATTAAGTAATCAACTGATATCTATGCGTAATTCCAGGTCATGTTAATCTGGAAGTTAGTTTGGGGTTTGAGAGTCCACTGAAGCTTCACCGTTTTCTATGGAGGGCCTGCAAAGGTAGCTTGGCTGTGATGGAGCGATTACATAATCGCCACATTGTCCAAAACAAGGTATGTGGTAATGCTGTAGAAACAATTTTGCATTCACTTTTTGAGTGTACATAAGCAAAGCAGCAAAGGAGATTTGGTCATATGATCAGTTGGGCTTGTTGAATAATGCTCCTACCTCTTCTTTTGGAGATAGACTGATGTGGTTAGCTAGCCAAGTATCTAAAGAACTTCGAAGTTCTGCAGCACTTATGTGGGCAGCATGGTCTTGTAGAAATAAGGTGATTTTTGAGCATTGTGTTCCTGGTGCTATACAAATGGCTGCGGGTTATGTCTGACTTGTGCTGGATTATTGTGGATATGCTGCCAAAGTCTTCAAGGGGCAAGGAGGGGGTACAGTGAGCCTAGCAAGCTGGCAGCCCCCTGATGTTGGCTTTCTAAAGGTTGACACTGATGCACATGTGTGTTAGAGGTTTTATGTGGGGCTGGGTGCGACAGTAAGGGATCATAGGGGGAAATTGGTTGCATGGGCAGTGAGGAAGAAAGGAGTAAGATGGGGTGCTGATCTAGCTGAAGCAGCAGCTGCAGCTTTTGGTGTGGAGGTTGCTCAGAATCTCGGTTAAAGCCATGTTATTCTCGAATCTGATGCTCAGAATATGGTGAATGCAGTCTGAAAGAAATCGTGTGGAGTCTCTCCTTTATACCTCTTTTTTTTTTTTTTAATGATATTAGTGTTTGTCTATCTAATTTTGTTGCTTTCTCTTGTAATCACATATCTAATTTTGTTGCTTTCTCTTGTAATCACATTAGAAGAGCCGGAATACGTCAGCTCATCTAATTGAGATGGGATATTAATGTTGATAAAGAGATGATTTGTAGTAACTATTCCCTCAAAGCCTTATTGCTTTGGCGGAAATTGATCATAACAAATAAAATTCTCTGCTTTCTTTCAAAAAAAAAAAAAAATACATATATATAAGCATCATGTGTGCATTCGTAACTCACCTAATCAGTTTGTTTAATCTTTAAATTGCAGATTATGTTGTAGCTTTACAACATCATATTGTGGATTATCTAAATATTGATCCTGATGTAGATGATAAATTTTCTTATTTAAATCTACTAGATAAGTTAGGGTACAGTTTTGAGAGAAAAGTTACCTAACATTTGTTTTGTTTCCTTTCAAAAAAAAAAACAAAAAAAAGAAAAGACTAAAAAGTCAATTTGTTAAATCTGGAGTGAAAACATTGACGTTACAATTTTATTGATCACTATAACTAGTTCATCGTCGACATGTAAAACGAGTCTTACAGCTATTTATGCATTAGGTTATATCTTTAATTGCAATTGGTATCTTAAATTGTTACCATAAATAATAAGTTGTCATATATGCTCATTGATTTAAAGAGATGCTCTTTGAATGTCTAAATTTGGTGATAAGCCATGCAGTATCAATAGAACTAACAAGTGATTCACTCGGCGGATGATACCATATAGAGAAAATACTAGTGTAATTGAGATACATGAAAGTTAAAATTGTCTTTTCAGTCAATAAAATGGGTCAATTTTTATCTTTTTCCTAAGTTTCACGATTCACTGTCATCCTCATTTCCCCCAACCCCCACTCTCTGCCATTAAAATGTATTGCGAATTCTCCATTGAACCAACCTTTGAGTTTTCTCTCCACTATTGAAAGCATGAAGCATATATGAGGTAATATGATTATAATTTTTTTAATCATTGATGTGAATTTAATTAACAAACGTCATTCGTTAATCATCGAATTTCAATTTCTTAATCTCTAGTACATATACCAACTTCAATGGAGGGGAGAAAATGACAAACACCTACCTTTTTTTATGCTTTTTTTTTTTTAGGTTTTTTGTTGAATTCAGTGGTGAAGCTGTCGAAAACGTTGGGGTTAGGGTTGGTGTTTGTTGTGGTGTTGGGTCGTTGTGTGAGATCTTGGTGAAAAACCTTTGAGAAAGGAAGGATGAGGAAGAAGGGAAGGGTGAGGAAAGGAAAGAGGCCAAAGGGTGAGTCAACAAAAATAACACAATAAAGTTTATGTTATGAAATATTGCGTGGATGATCATTATGCTCCTTATATCATTCCAGAATATTCTAAATATAGGGTTTATTCTTATCTAAACAAACTCTAATCAAATTGTATGTATATATAACCCCATCATATGGAATAAATATACACATATCAATTCCCTCTCAATCTCTTATATTTCTCCTTATTTTATAACACGTTATCAGCACTAACCCTAACCAATTGAGCGAATAAGGGATATTAGCAGTTGGAAAACAAAAGAATTCATATGATACATAACTCTGCTTCGACGTTGCTTTTTCTTTGGTGAAAAAGGTTACTTCTATATTCCTTTTCTCTTTCTTGAATTATGATATGATATTAAAACTTTAATATATTGTAAATATGATTGCCCCAAATTATCATTGCATTCGATCAGGTTATCCGTTATCATTGTGTAGTTTTTCGAATGATATAATTGAGTTTTGCTTGCTAAGTTTACATAATTAGGTTTTATTAATTTAGTCCACTATCTAATTTTTTTAGCAGAAATGTGAGCACATGCAAAATACTTTAATGGAGATGCTATGATACTGGCTTATTAGTTATCTATGATGTCCGACACTCCGGCTCACTGTATAATATATATGATTGAACCTGCCTTATAACATTGGCCTACTTTATCTTTCTTTACTGGGTAGCCAATTATGAATATATAAGATTAAGATTTAAGATTTAATGAAAACAATAAATTAATTAGATCCTTCATGAATTAATACCCAGATATATATATATATATATATATATTTTTCTTTTTTTTTTTCTCCTAGAAATTGTACTCTTAAGTAGCATACATGTAGTTTTACCGTTTTGATCAATAGTTTGCTATATCTTGATTGATATGTAATCTTTGAATTACTATCTACTATAGATTTATAGATAGTATTATTTTGATAATCTGATCTGTATATACTTTTTAATATTAATCATTTGTCTTTTACTAATACATTAAATTAATTAATTGAAGTATTATGCTATTGTAATACCCTATTTGTTTGTTCTAATTAGTATAAATTTTAAGAATTTTGTTACGGTTTGGTATACATAAATTGCAAATTAGGACTGAAGATATACTTTACACGGAGCACCATATTGTGAAAAATATGTATTTACTTGTCTTGTGGCCTAAGATCTTACTTGTGAAAGGTAAGTAGTATTTTTTGGTGAGATAATTTTGAAGAGTAAAAGATATATTCTAGTTTGATTTTCCTAGTTGTCTTTACTTGTCTTGCGCCCCAATGTTTTACTTGATGATATTGTGTATATACTGCATCAAATGCAAAGAAACAATAATAGACTATAGAGAGTTATCTCTTATTAATTTGCATAACATATACTAACATACTTCATATTACTTTTGTGAATTATATATACATGTTATATGAATATCAACTTAATTTATGCATGGTCACTAAAATAATACTATATATTAGACACCCCATACATGCTTAAATCGTGATTTGTGGGTTCAACAATTACATGTTTATATTATGCTAACTTTAATAATGCAATGCATTACAACTAAATATATATGATTCTGATTCCCTTTCACAAGCCTATGATGTTTGACTAGATGTCAACACTCTTTATTTTTCTAGTTGACCTCGAATTATGTTAATCACAATCTATCTTGTTTTTCCACCTGCAATGTTGAAATTATTTTATTTTGTTAATTAGATGGGAAAGGATTTGATTGAGGAACAATAGATTGTGATGACAATAATGACTATTACATTAGATATTTATGAAATGATCGATCCAGACATATAGTGTCATACTAGTAACTTGCAATCTAATACAGTATAATTACATATCTCTCTCCATTTTTGGGACTTGAAGTTTCAAATATTGTTCTTTTAGTACTTTGAACTATCTCATGTACATGCATTATAATTGACATTAACTTGGTATGCACCTGACAAGCGTTGAATTGGTCGCTACAATCTAACTCTTAATCAAACACAATTTATACGAACACCCTATAACCAGTATAATGGCAAATAAAGGTTCGGTCCACGAAGAACAGGAGTAATTGCTAATCAACCTTAAAACCCTAAGCTAGTTCGAAGTCAAATGAAAAATGGTGTTCTAAATAACTACTAATAAGACGAATCAATCAATAAACTAAAACACTAGGGAGAACGGGAATCCGCCTAACCGTTGGTAGCTAAGCAATAAGGAATCATAGAGACAAACGAGATATGCAAAGACTATATGTCTGATCAATATCATGTGATAGGATGACAACGGGCAATACTAAGCTTGGATTTCTCATGCACTTAGCATTACTCGATACATAATCAAATCACAATCAATAATGAAATACTTAATTCACAATCTCTTGTTCAAACTAAGAATAACATGCAATCAAATTCAAGACTTTAGGTTAGCTACTCCTATTATAATGAATTAACATGCAATCGCATATAATCAGTTTAATCACAATCCGTTTATCAAAACCAATCCTCAATTACATAGGTTACCTAGGCCGGGTTTCATCCCGAAACCCTAGTTAGGAAACTACTCACACATATTCAAGATCAAAGCAACAATAAATTCTAAAGGCATAATAAAACTAAACATGAATTCTAATTAATGATAATAAAGCTTTGAATAATAATTAAGAGCGAATAATACCAATAATATCGATGCGAATGAATGCAAAAGATTGGAACTTTGATATCCGATGTCAATGAACATACAAAGAATCCCAATGAATCTTGCCTTGATTAAAATCCGAAAAACTTCAACAATCTAATGAGAACAAGAGTATCTCGAATCCAATGAACTATGAATTTCTAGAATAAAGTCTAAGAAAACTATTAAATCTTAACTACGGAAATGCTTCTCAATATCTCTCTCAAAATCTGTCCCTCCTCAACCCTCACAATCGGGTTATATATATATATATATATATATATATATATATATTATATTATATATATATATTATATATATATATATATATATATATATATGTGTGTGTGTGTTTTAATTTAGAAAGTAAATTGCAGGCTGCCCTTCGTAAATCAGCACGGTCGTGCTGCATTTGGCTTAGTTGTGCTGCGAGTTTGGCACGGGCGTGCCAAATATGGCACGGTCGTGCTGGCTGGAGCTAAGCCGTGCAGGCATCTAGGAAGTGGCACGGACGTGCTACACATAGCACGGGCGTGCAGCATAGGCAGGGAGGCTTCAGAGACTTTGGCACGGACGTGCTGAACTTAGCACAGGCGTGCAGAACTTAGCACAGGTGTGCTAGACTCTCTAATGCTTGGCACGGGCGTGCCAGACTTGGCACGGGCGTGCCACTTGAACAAATTATGCAGATTCTTGCTAATCCCTTAGCTTGCTGAACCAGGATCAAACTTGGCTCGATCACGCACCAACGGCTCGGGATCCGACTAAACTCGACCAATTGTACCTGAAAACACATAAAAAACGACCCGAAACCCGTGAAGTACGTAATGTAGGGGAGATGAGCATAACAATGCAATAAACGACCAAAATGGCCCTAAATACATCCAAAATCCTTCATTTATATGCCCTAGAGCGCGCCCTAAAGTGCGATTGTCAGTACCATATATGGTCATATTGTCAGTAACCTTGTAAGTGGAACCTATTATGAAACATACTGCCACTTTCAATGTTGAAATAATTATTGATGTGTGATTTGAATATGATTACATATATACTATTATACACCTTATAAGAAGCATGTTTGCATGATGTTTTTGTTATTAAAATCATTGAAAAGTTCAATTAGAATTACAAACATTATTATATATCAACTATTTGACCGAGAAATAATTTTTATGAGTTTATGAAATACAACATGACATGAAATTGTGAGCAACTTTACCGGATC